GGTGGAAGGAGGGGGACAGGCAGGTAGGCTCTTTCACCTCACCAGCAAACATGGCTGCACCAGAGCATCATCATGATGATGCTCAATCACTAGGATTAGCATCATCCTAGACTTGATTTTTCCAGTCAACAGCGAGGGAAAGGCACCATCCAGATCTGGCTCAGCCCTTGGGAGGTTTGAACCGCTCCTGAAGATGCCCACCCCTGCCAGGGGGGGTAGCTGGGGATCTGGCAGCAGGCAAGCAGGGTGAGTCTCAGCATCTTTGGCTCCTTCCCATGACAGCCTATCACAAATTGGCACTTTGCAAGATCCCCGCCCCGAGCAGCTGCCACTGTCCCCAAGGATGCAGCTGCACAGGCCAGGAGGAGGGGACCCCAGGAGGGCCAGCTGGGGGGGAGGCACAGGCAGGGAGCACTGCTGCCAGGCTGGCTGCTGCAGGCAGGGGAGGAAAGGCTCGTGTTTGGGTGAGCTTTTGGGTGGCTTTTGCTCACCCAAAGAGCCAATGTGGGGTGCGAGGAGCACAGTCAGGAATGACTTTGGGATCTCGGTGGGACAGCATGAGAGGGCTGGCAAAGGTCCAGCAGTGCGGGGAGCATGGGAATGGCAGGGGAGATGCCCAGGCTTGATGGACGGCGCATGCTCGGGGCAGCACCCTTTTGTCTCTTGCTTTCAACTGGGGAGACATGTCTAGGGAGCGGGACTTGCACTGCATGAAGATTGGGCCGGTGGGGAAGGGGAGAGGCAGGCGTCCGCTCCCTCCTTTGCTGTATAAAGCAGATGCTTAGAGAGGAGGGAGGGAGGGAAGGGTAAGCATGGGAGGTTTGCCAGGCACCAAAGCAGCTGGGAGCTCCTGGAGAGGAGGCACGTGGCACGTGTGGGCAGATTAACAAGCTGAGCAGATCAGAGGCTGCTCAGCCCTGCACACATGTGCCCAGGGCTGGCTGCCAGCAACTCTGAAATGATTTGTGCCTGAAGGAAGGTGCTGTTCAATGTTCAATGGGGGCAAATTCATGATCATCTGAATTTTTGCTCCCACCAGCCAAGCTTTGGTTGCCGACTCTCCAGGCTGGGACCAAGACTCGGATGCCAGAGCTCTCAAAGCAGTCTGGCACAGCCTGACTGCCTTCAGAGTCCTTCCCACCACCTGAATGACAGCATAGCACTGGAAACTGTGTCTTAGGGGACTTGAAACTAAATGCTGAAGTGATTGGGCCCCAAAATTTGTCTCCAGAGCTGAATCTGAGATCTGCCATAGTCTGGGGAGGTCTTACATGTCTGGCTCTGAGTGTAGACCAAATGGGACCCAAGTACTTTGGTGTCCGGGTGTACTTGAATTGGACGTGTTGCTTCAAGTCCATTTACATGGTGTTTTGCTAGGGCTACCCAAACATTAATTAAAGAAGGTGCCTCCAGGCCTGTGTATAACAGAAGAGCAAAGCACGTGATATTGCTGTCCCACAGGCACTACAGGAGCTACCCACGGCAGGGAGGACCACATCCCAATTCCCCATCTGCCCACTCCCACTCCACTGTGCAATGCAAGTGAGCTGCAGCTCTGTGCCCGCCACCACATGCCTGACATGGTCATCCTCAAGTGCAGACTTCTCTGGGCTCAAGGAGACAAATCACCCTTCTTCAGCCCCTCCATCCCAGCCATGTGTAAAGGAGAGCTTGTCTTTGTTGCAGTGCACAATGCCTGTGGGGAGAAACCCCAGTGATGCTGGGGGCTGCTGCTGGTCCCAGACTGAACTTGCACCAGGCCCTCTGGGCCAGATCATTTGCTGCACTAAACCTGCCTGGCTCCAGCAAAGCAGCTGCGCATTGATTTGATGCAAATCTGTTGGTACCTGCATGAGAACCTGGCACTACAAAGCCAGGAAAGGAGCTTGGAAGAGGAGGCACAAACCCTGGAAAAAACAAGGAATTATCAGTGCCGCCTTCGGGCTGTTACCAGTCACTGTGTGTTTCCTGGGACTCTCTGGTGGGTCACCAAAACTTTTTCTGCTACTTCAGTAGGGCATTCTGCTTTACAATCCCAAGAATGCCATTGCCTGTAGTTACTACCGGTAGGCAGGTGAAGCTGTGTAAGGACTTGAGCCTGCAGTTAACTTTCAGAGCTATCCCAGGCACACCCAAACCAGTCGAACATGGCCAACAACCAGAATAAGCAATTGCAGGGAAATGAATCTCCAATTCATGTTAATAACTCCAAACCTAAAGTTGCTGAAGGCTAATTAAAGAGGCTTTGAGAGTTTGATGAGTAAAATTATCTTAATAGTTTAACTGTATAAACACACTGACTTATTATAATGAGGGTGGAATAACTGTCTCCTGAGCAGCATGTTCACCTGTAAGCCAGAAGCTGGCCTCTTCTCCACACATTTGCCTTGAGATGGGGAAATCTGCATGAGAAGGAAATGAAGGTTATGTGTTTGTGGTGTGATAGCACTTTGCTCTAGTGGTATTTTTCTGGTAGGATTTGCAGAGCTATTTTGCCACCTGTCTGTACTCCTGTACGTACTTATTTATTTAAATATTTTGTACTTATTTATTTATTTAAATATATATTATAATATATATTTTTATATAAATGTTATGTATTTATTTATAAGCCACCTCCTTCTTCCTCAACTTAGCATTGCTTAGCTGCATCTGGAGTCAGACCTGTTGCCCATGCACTCTCATGCAAAGGCAGCACAGCGAAGGGCCTGATTGACTTCAAGTAAAATTCAATATACAGTGTTTGGGAAAAGAAAATGGTCCGCTGTAGAAGACATGAGTGAGCAGCACATTCCCAAAGAGGCCAAAGAAAGCCTCTGCCCCAGATGCAGCAGCAGTCAGGGCAACAGGCGTCCCATGTCCGGAAAGGGATGCTGCCGCTGCTGTGTCTGGACAGCTTTGGAGATCAAAGTCTGGAAGGGCTGAAGATGGTCATGGATGAAAGGAAGGAGACCAAAAAGGCAACCAAACCATGCTTGGCCTCTGCAGGGAGGGGAGGACAGGGGCTGACAAAATCAGCAACTCCTTTCTGTTATCTCCTTGCAGCACTGAGATGCTGTTTACCCAGAGAGCTTCCACCACCCAGGAGCCACCATCCTGTCCACCTCCTGCAAGCAGCCCTGAGTTGTCATCCACTTCCCCTGCCCTGCCTGGGCTTTGCACCTCAGATAGTTGAATACCGGCCTCTCTGGGACACCTCATCCCAACTAAAACATCGTCACGAGCCTGCAGTGCATCGCAGCCTTCCACCAGCCTTCCACCTCCAAGCTTCACCCTTCGTGGCTTCACAGGAGCACAAGTCAGATCCGTGTTGCAACCCAAGACAGTCTGTAGGGCAAGCAAACAGGAGAGGAGTGCAAAGGTGGGGATGGCTGCAGGAGCACGCATTTCAGCTCCAGCACCTCCTCCTCCCTCCCCTTTTCTACTGGCCTCCTTTCACTTGCTTCCCACACCAACATAAGCCTTTGTGACCTAAATCACTTTTTTTTTTTTTTGGTCATACTCTATGCAAAACCCATCCATGCATTTAACAGACTTCTCAGAAGGTGAGACCTTACATGTCTTGTGACTCACGCAGGGGGGTGGGATTTTTAAGCAGTGCCACCAAGAAAAATTATAAAACAAAGTAAAACTGGAGTTCCAACCCACACCTGCCTGCAGACGAGGCAGAGGATGGCTCTTTTGTGAGGGAATTTGCCACTTTGAGAGCCTGGGAAGTCAATCAGAAGACATGCTGGGAGTATAGGAAATAACAAATGGGTCTCTCTTATCAGACCAGGACAGGGAGGCAGGTGAAAGGAAATTTTAAGATGTGAAAAGACTAAATGGATTTAGCAAAAGACTGAAGGGATATGGACAGCAAGAATATCCAGATTCATTAGAACTAATGGCAGTAAAAATGTCAGCAGGTATATTAAACTCCCCGCTTCAGGGTGCAGGAAACATGTGCGTCATTAGATCCAGCTGGAGTGGGGAGGAGGAGGATGGGGAGGCAGCTCCAGCTCTGGCCCTTCTCCAGCCTCCATCAGAGGTTCCAGTGGCAGAAGGATGATGTGAGATGGGCAGATGGCTGATGTGTCTCACTTTGATGCTCCCTGTGTTTGGACGTGGAGCCACGACAGAGGCCTGCAGCTGTGGTCACCTTGGCAGTGCTGCCAGGTACTTTGCCCTTCCAGTGCAGCAGTCACCCTCCCAGGCAGGTGCAGGGAGCAGCATCCTGCCCTGGAGGGAGATGTCTCTTCCCAAGCGGCACTTGATCCTCGTGCCCACAGTGTCAGGAGAGGTGTCCATGTTCAGTTTGGGGATGGCTGTACTGCTAAAGAAAGCCTCTGGCCGGTGTCTCGGAGCAGAGATGGGTGGAACTTTCCCATTAGCAACCTGTCCTGTGCAAGCACAGCGGTGCTCACACCAAGACAGTGTCACCCCAATAGCCCCAGGGCCTCTGTTTTCACTCTTTCTGTAACAAACTTGGAAGTCCTAATAAGCCAAGCCTGGGACGCTACTAGGAAAAAAATGATGACAGCTTTCTGAGGTGCTGGAGAGGATCTCAATACAAATTCAAGCTCCCAGCCACATTTCTCATTTGAGCTTAGACAAATCTTTTAGCGCTTTTCTATCTTATAAATAGGATCATCGACAACTCCTCCTTCCCATCCTTTTTTCCTCTTGTCTATTCATAGTGAGCACTTCAGGGGAGGCTCTCTTTCCTTCTGTGGGTACAAACCTTCTCCAGCTCAAGGTGCTGCTGAAACCCTACTGCTATTGTAAAGATGCCATGGGATCAGCAAAGATGAAAAATCCTTTCCCCACCAGGAGCAGCAGCAAGGAGTGGGAGAAAGCCAAAAGATTGTTACCTCTGGTCATGTCTCAGGGAGCAAGGATTTCAGACTCTGACCTATCTTTTTTTAGATATACCCACTGTGAGTGCTACCTTGGCTTGTCTTTGTGAAAGAAAACCTGGCCAGATTCACCATGTGCAACTGCTGCAGAAGACCTCCCTTCTAAATGAGCAGAGGATGCTGTTTAGCTATGGGCTGCTGGACGGACTTTATTATGAGGTCCCAGTGCTCAGCTCCTTCGCTCACTCTTTTGCCCAGGGTGGCCTGTCCCATGAGATGCCTGGGGTCTAAGTCCACTTCATAAATGGAGATCAGGGCTGTGCAGTCCCACGCTGGAGGCTCAGGCATGTGGAAGAGGAAAGTCTTGTTGAAGATGATGTGCAGGGTGTAGGCCTGTGGCCTGGACTTCTGGTGCTTTTTTCTGAGACATCTACAGGAAACATCTATCCTCATATGTACATCTAGGATGGGGAAGAGAAAGGAGAAATGAAACACTGGGGTATCTATCTCTGTCCCAGAGCTGGGCATTTCAAATATAGACATAATACTGCATAAGGTAGTCATGCTGGAAAAGGGCCATGTGTTGATTAGAGCTGAATATTGCAACTGTTCAGACTTGATCCCACATTTCTCAAAGCCAGTAACAAAGCTTGTGCTGGCTTCAGTACCGCTGGAAATCAGCCCACTTGGCCAAGGCAATCACATCTTAGTAGGTACATAGCTAGTAGGACCTCGCTATCCTATAATAGTAGATCATGATTTAAGAAGGACTACCTCAGAGTAGTCTCTGTAGTTATGGAACAAGCTCTGAAGTTAGTAGAAAGAGGGTGATGGAGAAAAGGATTTACTCCTATTAGCCCTGTAAGTGCTTGTGCTAAATCCAACACCCACAACAAAGCTCAGAAAGAAACAACAGAGAGGAGCCTTTGCAATTGCTTTGCCTGTATTTAATTAGTGAAATGGAAAACAGTGGCTTCAGAGGTATAGACGAGAAGATCTTTTGAGCATCTAAGGCTGTGGGAAGAGTGCAGCCCAGGAAAGATCAGCTCAAGAATTCAGTCTGCTGTGCTTCTCCCAGTCCCAAGGGGAAACTTTGGATATACAACTAAGAGGGAGAGCAGGACATAAAGTGAGGCAAGCGAAAGGGCTGCCTACCTTCTCCCTGTTTACGTGCTGAGCACTACAGAAGGAAAATGGCCGGATCTTCCCCACCCTCCATTCCTCCAACTAGCTGGATGGTGCAGGGGAGGAACCCACATAAGGCAAGGGCCCAAAATTTGAAATGTTGCTGCATTGTGCATCAAATATTGGGTTACTGGAGAAAAAGGTGGCTCTGCCTCAGCCTTCTCAGGGTAGGGAGCTGTTTACAGCTTATCTGCAATGCAGAGCATCTCCAAGGCTGCTCTCAAGTGACCATAGCCTCAGAGGGCCATCTTATCAGTGGAGACTGAAGGATGATAGTGATGCCCTGGTTACCTCCCCAAGGAGCACTGTAGCAACTCTACACTGCCCCCACCCCAGGGCATCCTCAGGAGAAAAAAAATTGGCTCTATACTGAGGGTAGCAGGACTGTGATGAAGTCTGGTCTTTGGGTCTCTGCAGAGCAGAGAAATGGGATTCAAGTCCTGTGATAGAGGGAAACGGAGTGGAAGGCATTGCCTGAGAAAAGTAGCTGGGCGTTTCATTAGTGTGATAAGCCAACAAAAGCAGCTCCCATGTCAAAACTCACAGGATCTAACATCAGATGGCCACCTTCCTGAGATATGCTGGGGGCTGTGCACCAGCTCACAGCAGTACGGCAGCTTTCTTGTGAGCAGTGAGGTCAATGCTACCAAGGGAAAGTGGTTCTGCACACAAGTGTAGTTTGGTGTGGAAGTCCCTGCCACGGGGCACTGTGGATGCTAAATGTTAGCATGGGCTCAAGAGGAGACTGAAGGAGGGCAGGGAAGAGCAATCCATTGGGGATTTCTAAATACACAGAAGCCAACCCCAGCTCAAGAAATCTCTAAGCCATGAATTGGAAGAGGCAGGGTGAGTACAGAGGGGGAGTATCACTTAACGCCTGTCTTCTTTCCATGCTACTTTGTCCTCTGTCAGAGACAGTCACTAGGCTAGGCAGACTTGTGGTCTGATTCAGCAGTGCTCGTTGGGGTGCAATGGGCATGCAAAGGACCTTTCTTTCCAACACCTCCCCATCCCCCTGGCTGGGTAAGATAAAGGTAGCAGGCAGCAGAATGAAGACTGGAGCAACAACAATAGCAGATATAAAACCTTACTCTTATCTGCGGTGCTTTGAGGGGATGTAGTTCTTGCCTTGAGCAGCCCAACCTCCATCTTCTGACAGATGGGAAGGCACTTCAGTGACATAAGCACTTCTCCCACAATGTCCTGTGAAAGGCATATGGGCAGGTGGTGAGCAGACATCCAGTGCAACAACTTCTGCAGCCACCAAGGCCACATGTCAACCTTCCTGCAGCTCATGAGTGTGCCCTTGGGGTCTCAGCAAGTTGCTGAGACTGCAGGGCCACCACAGCATGCTGGCCATATCCTGTTCTTCAGTGGTTTTTCTTGAGATTGAATTTTAGCTTTTTAACTTTTTAACAATTGCCAGCATCTGCTCTTTATTTGTACAGCGTGGCAGTTTCCCTTTCTCCTAGGGAGGAATAGAAGAGCCCCTGTTCTCCTGTGTCTGGATAACCTGGTTGTAAGGGTGTCTTCTGAGTTTTGAGTCCAATCAAACATGACTGCATGAGGTAGTACAATACAGACTACATCCACATGCATCTGTGCTAATTTTACGGTACTAAAGTACTAATTCTTATGGCACCATGGTATTTTTTTCCAGAGGGCCACAGGAAGCCCCACAGACTGTAGACTTTGCCATGTTAGGGTACTATGAGAGCTAGATCTGGAATCAAATTCATGTTGCTCGCATTTTACGTCCGCTGCCCATATATAAGGAATGAATTGATGTTTCTTACAAACAGTTAATTGTTCAGGTTGCTGGACTTGAGATGTCACTTGTTCTCTGTTATAAAATACACTACTGTCATTAGCAACCAGTTAAAATACACCTCTAACATTTTAAAATTGCTATTAATTCCTTATTTTGGGCCATCAGTCTCTTTAAACAGACCAAATGTCCACCAGTGTAATGCATACTGAACTCTTGTCTCTGTCGGTGGCGAAGGGAGAAGGTGCTGCAACATAAGCTTAGTCATCAATATGCCTTCATCCTTCCCTGGAGATCTCACCTTTAAGATGCAATTTCAAACTCCACCCCTGTAAAGCCCTGCCTTCCTGCAGATCCTACCTGACAAGTGTGCTGGGAGCAGAAGGGATCTGCTGCCATGGATATCACACAGATGGTCCTCAAGGATGCAGAATGGGGATTTTTCATTAATAAAATGAAGGGATGGCTGTACTGACATGCAGGTCCCTGGCCACTGTGTGGGCACACAGGGCAAGGCCATGTGATAGAGTCATCACCTTTGTAGTCTTCTGCAGCTTTTCACATAAAACCAAGCTTTGGGAGGCCTTTAGCTCACTCAGGGTGACCTTGACTTTCCCAGAGCAGTGTTTCTGGAGTATTTGTTGAACCATTGGACCTGTGCGAGAGAGGGAAAATGCACATCCATGGGGGTGAGGTGCAGGATGGAGCTGTGCCACAAGTGCATCCACATGGACCACAGCTGAACCTCATTCAAGGGGAGCTACCTGCCTTTAGGGCCTGTTTTCATGTGTTTCTATTCTCACTCATGGGCTTTTGGGGGAGTCAGGACTGGGCTATCATGATAGCAAAGAAGGCCCATACCAAGGAGTAAAATGCAGATGCTTTCTTTCAGTGGTATCACCTGAAAAAACTCTTCTGCTGACACCCTACTGCTCTTGGACATCTGCCTACTGGAACATCAAGCGGCATTACCTCGCCCTGTCCCCTTTCTCAGACCAGCTTGAACAGGCTGTGTGAAGGCCATGGCCCCTCCGATCTTGCTGAGTCCTGCCCTTCCTCCGTGCAAGGTTTGCTCCCAGACTGGGCTGGCCAGAGGAGCGGGTGGGTGCTGGAATCCCCTTGCACAAGGGCATGTCCTCTGCCAGCTGCCCACACTTGCTTCATGGCAGCTTGGGGCTGTCACTGCATGTGCTCACACATGGCTTCAGTCCTCTCTTTGTGTCCCCTCCCCTCCACAGCTGTTTCTCCAGCATGTGGCCATTTCCCACGTCTGGTCTAAGCTCCCTGGCTTTGCTGCTTGCTACCACAGGAAAACTTAATGGCCAAATCAAAGGAGCTTTGAAGTAATTGCAACCAGACACTTGTCAAGGAATATGAGATTGGTAGCAACACATGGGAATCATCGTTCAGGTTCAGTCCTACAAGCCGTCTAGTCCACTGATGTCTTTTGGAATAGCAATTGCTGGCTGCCCCTGGGAGGAGCAAAACCTGCCAGAGACCATTAAAGGATTACGTGCCTCTGGGAAAACCATCTATCCCTGGTTGGTTAGACCTCTAGCTAACACCTCAAGACCTGTGAATTTGTACCAACTCTGCAGTACTGGTTTGTCTTTCTCCTGCTGCTAGTGCAACTCCAGATTTCTGGGTGGTCTGCTTCCCTCTGTCTCCAGCTGAGCTCCTGGGCACCATGGTATAATGTGGCAAGGTGTTCAAAGTACAAAGACTTCAGCTTCATGCTCTTTCTCACTACTGGCTCGTGGTGCCTGCAGATCATTCACAGGGAATAGCTGGTTGGAAAATGACTTGTCTGCTGTGGATTTCACCAGTTATGTCTTCACTGCTGTCCCCTCAGCCCATGTTTCAAATCCATCCCAGTCTAGAGGATGCCTCACAGCTATCTATTGCCAAGGCATGGTGTACATTTAAAATCCCTGGGCATTCACAGGTCCAGCTGCAGTGTCACATCTGCGGCTAGACCCAAACTAGCTCTAAATGAGGCAAGTCAGAAGCAGCCAAGCAATAGTAACAAAGAGTTAGGGAAAAGAGGCTAACAGTAATTGTAGGCTGCTTCTGCTCACTCTGTTATCTCCATTAGAGCGAGTCTGCTCTCCCTGCACTGTATGACATCCCTCAGCTCACTCACTGCAGTGCCATGCATTCACCCCAGGCCTCAGTTTCTATGCCACCTCCTGCTGCAGGACTGTGCATCCAAGCACATTTTCACAGGGAATGCCTGTGGTAAAGGACAGGAGAACGCAGAGCACCGGGAAACACAGATTTCAGGGAAATCAAATCCTTCCTTACATCAATACCGCAGACCCCAAGAAATCAAAATGCCCAAGAAATTAGTAGGACGCCCCTTTGAATGTGAAAGTGTTTTAGGGGTTCTAGGCTTTCCAACCCTTCGGGATGCTGATGCTGGTAATTGGCAATCTTGGTCTTATTCATGTTGCCAAAGGACCAACCTCCTGGCTGGCTGTCCTCTGACCTGGTGACTAACCCCCTCTGTGTTCCTCAGAGGGGTAAGAGGAGCAGACATCCCCAGAAGCCATTACACATTTCTTCTCTGGTCAAGGCACCCTTCTTTATGTCTACTGAGCTAGCACCCCATCTCACCTCCAGCTTCAAGGTGTTCTTCTCCACCTCGGCATCTGCAGGAGCACAGCGGTCCCCAAAGGGTGGCCTGCTGCAGTTCTTCACCACCTGGCTTTGCTACTCCTGGACCACGCACTGGAGCCTGGAGATGTGGGATGGGACCTCCCTCAGCAGTGGGACCTGGACGGCAGACTCGGCACACCTGCGGCTAGGCAGCTCCTGGCCCTCCAGACCAGTCAAAAGCAGCTCACATTGCTCTCTGTGGTAGAGGAGGGAGAACTTCAGTGTGTCCCGGGAGTGGGGCAGGAGGCCCAAATTGCTGCTCATGCTGCTGAGGTCCTTGGTCCTGTGGAGGAGGAGATGAGGCAGGTGCACGGCTCATCCAGCTCAGTTTATAACACCTCCACCTCAGGAAAAAGTGGACAAGAGGAAAAGAGAGAGATGGGCCTTTTATAGCCTGGTAGTGTTGAACTTCCCTCCTGTTCCTACAGTGGTAGGAAGAGAAGAAGGTGTGTTTAGACCTGCTGCCTTTGCAGTAGAACCAGGGGACCCGTGAGGTTCTGCCAGCGCCCGGCGTGCTCCTCTCCCCTGGCAGGTCAGCTCTCTGGCACAGCGCAAGCATCTAGTCCTGGTTCAGACCATGGGGAAGAAAGAGCTGGAAAGAGCCTGGCCTTGCCCGAGAGCCGCGTGTAAGCTTGGGCTGGGCAGTGAGTGAAATGCACAGCAGAGCCCAACAGCTGTGCTGCAACAGGGAGAGCAAGCACTCCAAAGCAGCTGCTTTCCTCGTCCCCGGGCGTGCAGGACAGGCTCTCTCTCAAGCCTTTTCTCCCGTCTTGCCGTGCTTTTCTTTCTGGCATTGGCTCTTCTCTTAATTAGAGAGGAGCAGCTGCAACCCTCTAATAGCCATTTTGTACTTAGCAGCTGCCGGTGGTATTTCTGTGCTGGCTCCTCTCTCCTGTTGCTGAGCCGGCTCTCCTCCTGGCGCGGCGTTGCGCAGCAGAGCTGCGTGCCTGGGCTTCCTCCTCTCGCAGCGAGCCCTGGCCAGCTGCGGGAAGGTCACCAGGAACTTGAGGAATTCATTTTACTGGAAACTGTGTCCGGTAACAGAGACACAGGCTGGAGGTGAAGAAGAAACTACGTCTCTTCAGTCATGGGGGAGGGAGAGGGGATGGGAAAGGTTTGCAATTGCTCCTCTGTCAGTAAAAATTTAAGAGATGGATAAAGGACAAGCAAGTAGAAGTCAAACTTTTGATCAAGCGAAAGTTTTTGCAACAGTTTCCCCCAGAATTGCTCTGCCAGTGTTTTCACTTCCCTTGGCAGCAGACATTGTAAGCTCTGCGGCTCCCCTTAATGCACCTGGAAACAGGAGCAAAGGTCCCTGTCGTGCAGTGCGATACCGGTCTGCTGTGTTTTGCTTGTGGCCTGAAGAGCTGAAGCATCCCAGCAGCCCTGTTTATGAGAGGTCAAAATCTGAATTTGCCTTCCAGGCTACTTCTAGTACCCTCTGGGATGCTGAGGGGCAATGGAGGATGGGAACTGAGTGCACAGGTGCTGTGGGTGGGCTGCAATACCTGTAAAATCACGGGAGTGGGGCTGGCTGCTCACCTGATGCATCAGTGCTTTGGTCTCCCCTTCATTGTTGTGTATCTCTGTGACTGTCTAGTCCTGCCAGGGAAGCAGGGACAAGTGGACGTGTGGCCCTGGTGCACACGTGGCCCTGTTACCACATGTGAAGGGTTTCTGTTTAAGTGGAGGAGCAATAGTTTATATTACATCAATATAAGTGGAAGAGCAATATTTTATTTATATAGAATGTATTCTGTTCTATTCTATTCTATTCTATTCTATTCTATTCTATTTTCCTTCTCCCTCCATTCCTGTCAGCCAGAGAGTCGCTCTCTTTGTATGTTTTCTTGCCACAGGTTTTTGGGTCTTGTTTTCTACCGGACTGTCAGTCAGTCCATGGCTTGACCCTGTGAGGTTTCTGAAAATGAGGATGGCTCTTGACTTTGCCCTAGCATCAGTGTTCTTGCCTTGATGTCTGCATTGCGCTGCTTAGTGACATCATGCAGAAGAGGTGGTGTTTTCTTCCCCCAAATGCCATTCTCTGCTTTTATCCTACCCCAGCCTTTTCTGTGGCATCTCTTCTCTGTGGGAATAAAGAAAAGCTGAGTAAATGCCATCCAGCTTGGAGATGGTGACATTTGGAGTCTTGGAGTGGGATTTTTATTCGGTAGTTTGTGAAAGCCTTTAGAAAGCCTAAAGTTTAAAAACTCCTGAGGATCCTGTCTCTGGAAAGCAGAACATTTAGATAAGGTACCCCAAAAATTAGTGCAGTGGATGAAGACATTGCTGTCACACGGTCTTACACTTACATTTGCTTTAGTTTGTGCATAGCCCTGTCCTGGAGGGAAGGGTTATTCCAGCTGGGAAAGATCCCAGTTCAGTGGGAAGTGTTTCTTCCCCCACCACCTAGGGTGTGGGTAGGAGGACAGTGGATCCCATGGCCTTGCTCAACCTCTCTTCCTGCAGGGATAGTGTTGTCATCAGCAAGGTCTTGTTAGTGGGACCTGCTGAAGGGTCCAGTGTTAACATTGGCATCGTGCAGGTGCTGGCACTGACCACCTGGTGTGAATACTGTATAGTTTAGACTTTCTGGGACAGTCTTGTGACCTGCTTACAATAAAAATGTATCTCGGAGTGGTCTAGCAAGTTGTGCTTAGATGGCACTTGGGCCTGATGCTTCTGGACAAAAGAAGTGGGGTGAGCCATGGTCACGGCTTGTGACCTTGCACAGCTGAGAAGGAAAGAGGAGGAAGAAGCAGGTGGGAGAGATAATTTATTTTATTTTATTTTGTAAAAGCCATCCAAGCAGAGTGGGGTTGCTGAGTCTGGGTGACAGGAGGCTGGGAAGAACTGCAGACAGCGAGGAAGAGTGAGTGAGCCTGGCATTACCTGGGGCATGAGATAACATTTGGGCTGGAGAGAGCAGAAGAAGCCATGTGTCCTGGTTTCAGCTGGGATGTAGTTAACTGTCTTCCTAGTAGCTGGTACAGTGCTATGTTTTGAGTTCAGTATGTGAAGAATGTTGATAACACTGATGTTTTCAGTTGTTGCTCAGTAGTGTTTAGACTAGAGTCAAGGATTTTTCAGTGTCTCATGCCCAGCCAGGGCACCTGACCCAAACTGGCCAACAGTGTATTCCATACCATGGGACGTCCCATCTAGTTTAGGAACTGGGGAGTGGGGGGAGGGATTCGCCGCTCGGGAACTGGCTGGGTGTCGGTCGGCGGGGGGCGAGGAATTGCCCTGCGCATCATTTGTACATTTCAATCCTTTTATTACTACTGTTGTCATTTTATTAGTGTTATCATTATCATTATTAGTTTCTTCTTTTCTGTTCTATTAAATCGTTCTTATCTCAACCCAGGAGTTTTACTTCTTTTCCTGATTTTCTCCCCCATCCCACTGGATGTGGGGGAGTGAGTGAGCGGCTGCGTGGTGCTTAGTTGCTGGCTGGGGTTAAACCACGACACCATGCTTATGTGTCTGGCCTGGTGAAGAAGCAGCTGGCCTGTAGCAAGGCTACAACAACTGTATGGGCAGGATGTGCTTGTGGGATCCTGTAATGTGTGCCTTGTTTCTTCCCCTTGCAGCTAACAACCAGGACAGGTGACCTGCCCCAGTTTCCCACCTCTTGTCTTGTCACACACAGAGCCAACTTCATTTTAACAAGAGGAACCTGCACCCTTACCTGTCTTGAATCAGGTAATGGAGATCTTGGACATGCAGCTTGCCACAGAGTGACTATCACAGAAATGGTGGCAAATGGAAGCATAAGAGCTGAGGACATTGCTCAGTTCCTGTGTTTGGCCCAGGGTAGAAGATGCTTGTTGAGAGGAAAGGGTGGCAGAAACACAGGCTCCCGGTGGGTGCTGAGCACTGTTGCCCCATACTTACTTTTTCCAGTCCTGTTGTGTTCCTGGAGCTGACACGTCTGGCAAGTTAAGATGGGCAGGGCCACCAGGCACAAGACGATAGCTAATGCCAAGATCCCTTACTTCCAGGTACTGGAAAAGGGCATCTGCGAGCTGTGCAAGTTGAGCACGACAGAGCTCTTCTGTACCATGTCTTGTTCCTCCAAGAGAGAGAGAAAGAAGGGCTCAGCATTGCTAGTATTGCTTCTCCACATTGTATGAGCCAAGCAGGAAAAGGTCTGTACACATGGATGTATGTGCAGCTCAGACCCATACGTTCAACATTAATCCTGTGGCCCTCATAGGGACTTGTTGGTAATGTCATTTACCTGTGCTTGTGCTCACAGGGTCAGTACCACATTGTCACAGATCTGTCCTCACCATTGCCACACAAACAGGCATCTGCTGGATTGCCCTGCTTTTGTCCAGAGCTATTCACAAGGCAGCTTATGGTCTTCCCAGGTGAAAAGCCACTAGAAATGTGATACACCTGTAATTTTCCCACAATTTTTTTTTTCATCCTGCTTCCTTGCCCTCCATATAGTACTGCTTCACAACTGCTGGCTGCCTCCTGGTTACTTGCCCTTCTGCTTATTGCCTTCTGACAATGCCTGGCAGCAGATGCTTGGGGACAGTATAAGACCAGGGTAAGCACCCAATGATACTTTCCCCCAAAATGTTCCTTCAGCCTCCTGCAGTATGCAGCTAAGGGCCTTACTTGCTTCTGATAAGCCTCAGTGGATTTTTTTTATTTCCATTTATTCATCCAATTGACTTTTTAAGCTGTGTCAGATGCTAGCTTCCACAGTATCCTCTACCAAGAAGTTCTCCCACCCAACACAAGAACTATCATCTCCTTTAGTTAGCTGACTTTTCACCTGATGATTTACTTTGTCATTGCCTAGATCCTGAACTGGAAAGAGAACAGCAGAGAGTCGTTCCCTGTTCACCCTCTCCAGACACTCTTGCCATCAGACCTCTCTCCTGTCCTTCAGCCACCCTTTCCCAGGCTAGGTAGTCCTAGCTCAGCCAGTCATTCCTCCTACAGCAATTGCTCCAGATCTCTTCTGAACCTTGTTCCTTTTCCCTGAGCCTTATCCTGCTCTTCCCTGCAACCATGAGAATGTACTACCAAGGGCCAAGTCTGTCTGGTTTACTGGATCTGGCTTGTTGGGTTTGATCCAAAGAAAACCCTTTGCAGGGTTATAGGATCGGCATCTGACTGGCTGGCTTGCTGTGATGGCATTGACATCTGGGAGGTCACTAGCTTGACTAGCTGATGAGAAATGTGCTGGCCAGTAGTTAGGAAGCTGTTGGCTTAGCAGGCAGCTTCATCAGATAAGGAGATTTTGGTGCCTTCCTTTCAGACGTGCCACTCATTTGCAGACCTGTTCAGGCAGCAAGACACTTGAGGAGCTGTGGTTTGTAGAGCCAGTCTGGGAGGTCTAAGGCAGCCAAAGGAGACACTGGGAAAAGGATGAGAGACACAGGGAGAAGCAGGACCAGGGTGGTCACTTGTTGATCTGTTGGGCAGGTGTGAGAGCCTGATGGGTCTCTGTAATGGGAGACAAGGGAAAGTCTCTGGAAATTTGGAGAAAGTGATCTGGAGAGTTTGTCATCTGCCCCTGGAAGGAACCTGACAGTCCTAGGAAGAAACAGCAGCTTAGTTTGGGCTTCTGTCTGTGTTGTTTTGCTCCAAGATGAATGGTGGTCTGTTGGGCTATGGCTCGGTATAGCCTTTCATCCTTGCTTAGTCTGAGTAATCAAAATGAGGACTGGAGGAAGGGATTCACCCAGTGCCATCTGGTTAAGGATCCCTTAAGAGCTTTATCACCCTCTTCAGGAGAGGACTGAATTCAACTGGAAAGGAGAAGGGATAGGGAGCTCGTGTTAGAGCAGCCCTTCCCATCCATGCCTTTACACCCATTCACAATAAAGATCTAGTACCGAATAGCACTTACTGTCTTTCTTTTTTGATTGCTTAAGGTGAGATTTAAACACTAATCTTGCCAGGGAGCAAACATTTTACCCACCTCTAGCAAACAAGAGCAGCCAATAAACAGTGCCCAGCTTCAGATAAGAGCTGTTCCAAGAAATTGCTTCTGGTTTATGCATCCCAAAACAAGCTTTAAAGCAGAAATCAGTTTAGTCAAACTTCCTGCACAGAAACCCTGAATATTCGTGATTTCTTCACCTCAGAACAAGTTGATATTCATACCAGGTGTCGTGGTTTATTATCTGTACCTTTGGTGCAGAACCCTATGCAACTGCTGGGGCACTGTGAAACATACTACCAGCAATCACTGCTGGAGATGAAGCAATAGCAAAGAACAGGAGGTGACCAGCAGAAATATCCTTCTGTGAGTGAGACCTAAATCTCAGTCTAAATAAATGCTTCCCAATAATTTGCTTCCTGAAAAAAATGGGACTAAGAGGAGCTTTTGAAACTGCCCAAGAAATTTAACTCACTACTAACCTGCAATGAAATATTGTCTTTAGACTAGTGAAGTTTCTCCCTAGCAGGGGGCCTTACAACACCACCTCCTCCTGTGCTGACCAGTCCTTACACTTGCGCTTATGAATCTAAGCCTCCTTCCACTAGGAGATCTCCAAAACCTCCAGGCAAAGAACATAACCGGATTTTGCCCATAGATACAAGTGCCCATCATGACTCTGCGCTCACCCAGCAGGTACAAAGCCACCGGTACAGACGGCTGCCCAAAGCCTCACGTATCTGTGATCCTTGGGCATGCTCTCAGCTCACACAATAGCAGGGAGCTTGAAGTGTTGGATGTCTGTCTTGGGGAAGGGAAACAGTAATTGAGCCGAGGGTACCATCGCATCAGTGAGAGGAACAGCACATTTCTGCCAGTGCAGAGTGGGCTTTTATCAGGACAGGGTGATTTTGGAGAATCTGTGAGCCAAGGACACCTTGGTGTTACCAAGTAGACCCTGACATCCTCCTGTGATAACATCCTGAAGGCAGAGGAGTCTTGCCTGCTCTCTTGTAAGGGCATGAGTGAGCAAGGGAGGGACGGGAGATCCCTGCACTGACTGGCTTGTCCTAGAAAAGCCTCCTAAGGTTGTTAACCATCACTGAGTTCTCTGTGTGGGCAGTGGACACTCACATTTTCAAACTCATTAACTGGCTGTCATTCACCTGACAGAAGTTACTTTTAAGAACCTGCTTCTGAATTACATAGCAGATATTTAAATAAGAGCACACAGTGCAGTTGAATGCCTCCGTAACCATCATGCCTAGTCCAGCACTCATGGACCTTGATTAAAGTCAGCTTCCCCTTGCAATAGGTCTGGTATAAAGACAGCAGCTGCCCCAGCATCACTAAGCGAGCAGGACCCCACTAATGTGAGCACTTCTCTGCTGTCATGCCACAGTGGCAGGACAGGCTTGATACTGCACATGCATCTCCCTGTCCTCCCCATGACCATGTCACCTAAACCAGGCTGTCACTCATTCCCCATCCTGTGAATGACAGCCTACTGCAGACCAGCCACTCCTGCACACATACATTTGCAGCTCTGCTAGTAACAGAAAACATCTTACCCTTCTCCTCTTTTTGCAAGCCCCTCTCCAAGAGCACTGCAGCCCCACGAGAGGCAACTCCAGAAGGAGCTTGGCTGCCTTGCTAGAGCATCAACAGCCCTGCCAGGGTCTCACAGGCTGGGGACATCACTGTATTTCCCTGCAAAACCAAGAGGATCCCCTTCCCAGTTCCTAACTCAACACTGGGGCAACTTAAAAATCATACCTTCAGAAATGGTATAAAAGCAAGTCCTTGGGAGCCCTCAGAGCATACGCATGCCACACCGTCAGTGACATGATAAAAGATTGGTTTGCTGTACTGGAAAAACAAGTTACCACCCTGGCCAGCAAGACAGGAGCCAATATTGATGAAGCCAGCTCAGAACAGGGTGTACGTGGGGAACAATGTGGTGGAAAGGCTGCTGCTTAATTAACTCCAGCAAAACTGTGGAGGGCTGCTGTTTTGGGTGCCCACTTGGAAAATCCGGCTGTCAGGGTCACAGTGAATGCTACTCCACACGAAGCTCCCTTGCAGCTCCCAGGAGAGGCCCAGCAGGCACTGGACAGCAGGACACAAATGAGAAAGGCTGAGCTTCTAGATGCTTGTAGGAGAGCATTTATAACCCCTTGCCGCTCTTGGTGAAACCAATCCATATTGATATGTGAAGTCCTCCCAGCTTTGCAAGCCCATAAAAAGCACAGGATAAATGAGTGGGCTAAAAGTGCATGCTTTTCATCTGCTTTTGCTGTGCAGTTGTTTTAACTCTCCTTTCTTTCTCCAAAGCAATAGGATCTCTTTTTTTTTTGACAAGTATATCCTGTGGGTGTTGGAGCTGGGGCTGTTGCAGCTGGATGCCAGTAGTGAATGGGAAGTCTCTGCACACACTACTGGAGCTAGGTCCATAGTCTCAGCTGTGCCAATGCCATCCCATACCCTTCCAGGGCTGCCAGGCATGAAATCCAGGAGCCTAAAGATGCTTTAAACACTTAGAGGCAATGAGCCATCTGAAAAGCAGGAGTGGTCCTCTCTTTCAGAAGATGGTGCTAAGTTACATGGAGATTACAGGGCCAAGAACTGGGGAGGAAGGTGAGAAAGGAGGTAGAACACCATCCTCCAGTGCTTTCTGTCCTCCCTCATCTGGTTTTCACTACTTACCCCACCTGGGCTTCAATGATTTTCCCTGAGAAGCCTTGGATCGGTCCCATTCTGTCTCTCCAGCCTTGGGACCTCTGCTTCCTCTCTATCAAGCCATCCAAATCTGGACAGATTTCTTCCCCAGACCATTAATTAGCTGACTGTAACCCACCTCATTGGGATTATAGCTATCTTTGATCCTGCTGTAGTTAGGAGGCATGGCTGCATGCCACATAGCACTTCTAATTTAGATTTGCTTTGCACGCTGTGGCACGGAAGGGGGAATGGATCCCCTGGGAGACTGCTGTGAAGAAAGCAGCAGCTCCCCACTGCAGTCAGGGATGAACAAAACAGTATTTTTTTCCCTCATTGTGGGAGGTGCCATGGAGAAAACTCTTTGGTGCTTTATATTCTAATTATCTCCAAGTGCAGCCTCACTACTTGATTTGTGGTTACTGCACATTAGAGACGAG